AGCCTTCGACCCACAAGGCAGTGGGGCGTAAATCCAACGCGGGAGCGTGAACGAAACACCCGCGTGGGAGCTTCTAGAGGCCTTCGGTTCAGTGTGTTGTTCGCTGGTGTGTTAATTATCGATCCGCTTTCTGGGATCAGCCCTTAGCCTCATGCACCCAATGAGACAAGCGGAACGTGGACGGGACAGCACCTTATTGGCTGGGGCTGCCCAGCTGTCCAATGAAGTGCGAAGACTTCTCCCACCGTCGAGAGGAAGCCCCAGGTACCCCGCTTTTATGTCCATCTAGCGGGTTTTTTTGACCGGTTAACTGCCCCTCACCGTGTTTATTTACTGGAGTGATCTCTCCAGGGGTGGGTGTGGATAGAAAAGGAAGCCAGGAGGTGGCCAAGCAGCTGACCTTATGAAATTGATCTTCGTCTGGCCTATACCCCTTGACCTTTCAGGCATGATTGGATCTGCGTCTGAGGAGCCATCCTGTATAGCTCGCAGGGTCATTGAGGCGCGCGAGCTATCACACCACGTCAATGTGCAGTCTCGTCGTGATGGACAAGATGGAGAGGGATGGGGCCTAATTAGAGGGAGGAAAAGAAAGTGAACCTCCATGGTCAACAAACAGAGTACACAATCTAAGTGTGCATGCATGCCTTTTCAGGGATTCGAACCTGATAAGAAATGAAAACAAGAACTCCAATGCTGTCGGTTAGTCGCCATATCCAGCAGTGTCTCCAACCAGCTAGTTGCAGAGTCTTTTGGACCCCAACCTGGAAGACGGGAGACACTGATTCTACCTAACCGCTCTGTGCACTTCATGCCTCGCTTCCACGTCATCTGTTGACCCCCACGAGGCTTCTTCCAACCTGGGGCCGCAACTGCGAATTAGGCACGGTGCGGCAGACGACTGGAGCATGTACTCATCCCCTGTGATGATCAGGTAAAAGAAGTGGGAAGTTTTGAGTACCTCGAAAGCTTGATCACAGCTGGAGTTTGCGTTGGGGAAGAGATCAGATTACGAATAGTGAAACCTAAAAGTTTTTGCCCAATTGCAACATTTACGGCTCACAAACCATTGAGTCTTCTTTATACACTGCATCAAAACCGAACGAAGACGTCCAAAGATGTTAACATTTCGTTTCATCGTTCAAGCTGTGCAAAACACCTCATGATCTAATGGATTCCGATTCTCCTTTTAAAACCTTATCGAGTAACCGCAGTGTAAAACTGTTTCCGATTAGTGAGGCGTTATTAATCAGATCACATTATCCCATTTCATGCAACCAAAAGTTATTGACACAATCAGTTCACTTGCCGCGGAGTTGATATATTGTTTTTAATTTTAATAGCCCTTACCTATGTGTACACGTTCGTACTTTTAGAATAAAAAACGCTCGTTCTCTAGGATTTACCAACCCAATGTACTATGTGTGCGATTGAGAAGGTTAAACGAGATGTTAACATCCAGTGACATGTCTNTGTCTTCTTTTGGTCTTGATGCGATGATGACGCCGCCATGACATCTGAGTCTCCCCTAAGGGTGTTCGCCATGGTTTGCAGTGTTTTGCCTTACGTTGCGAAACCTGACCCATTTAAGGCGAGGATGCTAACCGACTTTCTATATTCGACCACCGATGCTTTCGAAGCAGTGCTCCTGTCTGGCTGAAACACCGTGGGATCAATGCCGAAATTCGTCGCAGTGTGCTGGGTGCGGATAGTCGTGCTCTAAGAGAACCAATAGTTCCAAACTGCCTCGAGTGACTTAGTCAAGTTTTGCCTGTGCCTGTCCACCATCTACCTTTCCGTGCTCTCTTCGGATGTGCTGGTCAATGATGGAAAAAACGCCGCGGTAGCCAGACCATGATCTATCATCGAGGTATTAAGAAATTAGCCTCAGCATAGGCTTCGGTTAGTGCAGCTCGCCTTCTAGACTGGGGTTAAAGGGATGAAGATTGGCACAGGCTAGAGATACTAAGAGATATGGCGCAGAAAAGAACTTGGTGGCGAGATTGTTACTTATCGAAACCCCGATTCCCATAACGAACAAAAATGTGCACAGTGAAACCAACAGAAAATTATCCATTCGTTTGTTTTCCTTATTTTCCGTTTTTCTCCCGTTTTCAATTCAATAGTCTGCACCCATTCCTATTATCATTATTATCATTACTGTTTCCTGGGAACCATGCTTGACCTTAAGCCCCATCATCGCCACCCGACTTTGGTGGTAGACAACTTTGCTGTCGTCTGGTTTAATACCACACCTAATCTATCGGGGCCTTATGTGGTTCGCCACTCCAATTCCCGGGGCCTAGATTGCCGGTTACCATCAATGAACGGCAGGTCCTCGTGACTATGGGTGTTCACCCAGTCTGCTGTTCAACTCATTTAGGTGTGATAAAAAAGTATGTGAAGGACTGTTTTTTCACTTCCACGTTAGTAACGACTTCAAACTATCACTCCCGGAGGACTTGTGTCCGTATCTCGTCACCACAGCCCGACTTTCCCTATTATGTGTGACGAAACTTCAACTGCCCTCAACTGCTCCCTTCTTGAAGACTGTATCACCATGTATTCCATAAAAGGAAGAAAACATGAAAATTAATAGGGGGGCATAGAATGAATCGAAATTTTGGAAAAGATTGAAGCAAAGCCGTTTCTCGTACAAGATTCCGATGCGTTTACGTATTCAATAAAAATTACGAGAGTAATTGTGAAAACAAAGCGATGTCGGTACAGATAAAAACAAGCCGAAGTTTCGGTTACCGTGGGTAATCTTTTTCATGGCAATTTTACAATTAAATGAGTCAAGAAGAATTTGCCAGCTAAATTCTAACGCAGTGTGTGCGTTTGTATGTAAGTCTGTTCCTGTATCCGTGTGAACATCACCGATCCGGATCGGGCGTTGGGCATATCCGTTTATGCAATGTCTGTTTGTCTGAACGTAAAATATGCCGAAGTGAAGCATAGTTCTACACCATTAATGATTTCATGTGGGGTTAATAGACAACGCTCAGTTAAAAATGCGTCAGAGGTCAACATGAAATGTAAGACAGCTGTTTCTAATGCCAACACTCGTGTACGAAGATACCACATCAAAACTGATAGCCACTTCATCGCTCCGCAGTTCAGTAGTCTGTAGAATGCGGGTAAAACGAAAAGCATCATCATTGATGATACTTTCGCAGTCATCAAATCAGATCAAACGACAGATTTTCTTCACTGCCTAAACAATCAGTGTAACTCGATAAGATTCACGATGGAAACAGAGAATTCAGAGAGTCATTAACTTTCTAGATTGTCGCGTGAAAATAAGTGAATTTCATGCATTTCAAATAGGCATTCACATAACACTGACTCACTCAGTCAGATATTTGAATTTCGATTCTGCACATCCACAATGCATGAAACGGGCACTTATCTCGTCACTAACAAGCAGGGTTGAAAACCTCGGCAACGAAAAGGCAACACGCAAAGATGAAATGCGACGCTTGAACCGGGTACTCCAGGACAACAACTACCCACAATGGTTTGTACAACACGAGCTTACCAAACCTAAAACAACCACGGAAAGCAAGGGTCCTACAGATCGGCTGGCATCCATTAATATCCCCTACAGATCGGGGACATATGAGGCAATCAGAAATATCCTCGGTAATTAAAACATCCGGGTTTTCTTCCAGACAGACAACACACTGCAAAACAAGCTATCCAAAGTCAAAGATCCAACTCAGATGCAGGACCAAAGCAACTGCATTTACAAGATCAGTTTCAAGGATTGCCCAGCAGAATATATTGGACAAACATGTAGGCAGCTTAGGGCGAGAATCGCCGAACATCAAAGAAAAGAAAAATCGAGACCAACTACTGCCATGCAGTTCAACAAACTCGAACGAGATTCGGCAATCTCACTTAATGCCATTGCCGAGGGACGCCATATCGACTATGAAAACACGAAAACCCTCCAACAAACACCGAGCGCCTATACGCCGAGGCTTTGGCAATTAGTGCCTGTCCTGGGTGTATAAACCGAAACGACGGGGCAGGGGTTTCGAGTATCTGGACAGCGCTAACGTCACTTGCCAGCACTCGCCCTGATGCTGACTTGACCTCAGATAACCCCGATCCCACAGATAAACAGTGCATAAACGGATGTGCCCAACGCCCGATCCGGATAGGTGATGTTCACACGGATACAGGAACAGACTTACGTACAAACGCACACACTGCGTTAGAATTTAGCTGGCAAATTCTTCTTGACTCATTTAATTGTAAAATTGCCATGAAAAAGATTACCCACGGTAACCGAAACTTCGGCTTGTTTTTATCTGTACCGACATCGCTTTGTTTTCACAATTACAACTGACATTAAACATACCACATGGTGCATCGATTTTGCGACACACCTCGAATTTTGTTCGAATCTGACACTATGAAAATTACTGGACATTTACACAGTCTATTCGTCGAACGAGGTGAGCAAGGGCGTTGGTGGCGCAGTGACTTAATCACTGTCACCGACGTGTTTTAGGCCCTATGGTTTGATGTTCGGTCTTCTTCCAATCTACACCACTTTGTTGGTGGGCAACTTTACTTTTGTCCGGTTCAATACTACACCTAGCTTGGCGGGGTCTTATGTGGTTCGTCATTCCAAGTCCCGGGGCTTAGTTTACTGTGTTCCATTAGTGAGCAGCAGGTTTTCGTGGCTATGGCGTCTTCCCCGTTTGTTGTTCATCGCACTAAGGTGTAATAAAAACCTATTTTAACATGGGAACTGACCTAGTCCGCAAGTCCACCGAGGATGAATCAACATCAGTTACGTTTTCTACCGCATATATCCAAGTTTCGTGGAACACAATTGTTAATTCAAAATATTTTTTAACCAAATAAACCTATTTTTCAAATCCAGAAAAAATAACTTCGAACAGAAATGGGAAATATGGACCGGGTATTTGTCGTTCCAAAATGTTCGAATAACGTGCAGTGGAAAGAAAACCAAAAGAAGCTACTTCTGACTCACCGGAGGATGCTGAGCTAAATGTTCAAAACCACTCCAAAGGAAGAGAGTGTACAGAACCACAGCTGAGCAGAGATGAGCACATAGCCAATAGTGATCCACACGTGGCACTCCGACATATTGTTCATCTTTTGCGAGGCCCGCGGGACGTCTGGGTTCACGCAAACCACTACGAACCATTAACCATCCTAATACACCCTAATTCATTACAAAAACAGGTTAAGGTAAAAAAAAGTGACAGAATTAATTGGTTGCGTGGTTGAAAATGACAGAAAAGTGTAGAATGGTTAACAACCGGTAATAACTCGAAAATGAGGGAATTAAACGATTCAAGATGTTACAAGGTGATTCAAGATGTCTTTTTCTAGTACGAAAAGTAACACAATGCAGTTGAATGTGAACAGTAGATCTTCCCGACTATGATGTTAACCCTTTCTGTTAACCACAGTGACGTAATAAAACCTAATTTAGATTCAAACAATTGTCAGTTTCAGATCCCAACTTTGGTGGTAGATATTCCAACCTTTGTTTGTCTTTGTCTTCCATACTCAGCCCTCTCCATTTGCCCCTTCTTCCAACTCGTAAGTCTCTCCAGCAACTTGAATGTCGCCCGCCAAAGATTGTTGTCAAATTGCACTGTAAGTAGACAGGGTAGACCCTTTAGTCACAAGTACCTGCTGTGCAGTGGTGGAAACCGGCAACCTAAGCCCCGAGACCTAGAGTGGCGAACCACATAAGGCCCCGATAGATTAGGTGTGATATTGAACTGGATGACAGCAAAGCTGTCTACCACCAAAGTCGGGTGGCGGTGGCGGGGCGCGAACCTCGGACCATAGGGTCCAAAGCACGACAGAATCGAAACAGTTAGGCGGGATCTGCAACGTTCGCTCACGAAGAGCCTCAAGGACAGTGAAAACCAGTGGTCAACAATAGCCACTGAAATGGAAGTAGCAGCTGCATCAGGAATAGTCGAAGATTGTTTCGACTGATACGCAATAGGAGAGGTCGGCAAACTCCAGTTAGTGAAAGTCTGCTATAAGAGAAGACAAGCTATTCACAATGCGGATCAATGACTTGATTTCTGGGCAGAATACTTCAGTGAACTGTTCAGCTGGCCTGGCGTCAGTCAGGTTATTTCATCTGCAATATCGTGCGGCTCCCCAACAAAAGCAGTTCGGTTTTGCATTCAAGCTTTGAAGCGAGGAAAGGCATCAGAACCAGATAAGCTCCCTTCCACCTTCCAAGATGGGGGTGATAACCTCGTAAGCTCTATTACTATCTTACTCAGCAACATTTGGACACAAGAGTACATTCCTTCATCTTGGGGTTAATCACTAACCGTTCCCGTTTTTAAGAAAGGATCTTGCGACGATTGCGAAAACAACCGCGAGATAAGTTTGATCCGATCGTCACCAAAATGCTAGCCTCGGTCATACTTCGACGTCTGACGCCTTTAAGAGAGACCCACATCCATGAACAGCAAGCTAGATTCCGTCCTGGCCGTGGATGTATTGATCAAATTTTACGTTGTGTCAGGTCCTTGAGCTGCGTCACACCCGCNACACCCGCCGTCGGCCAACGATCGCAGTGTTCATCGATTTGAAAGGAGCTATCGACTCAGCTGACCGCGAAGCACTGATAATTCCCCTTTATCGAAAAGGAATGCCCCAGAAGTACGTTAACTTACTGAGGTCACTATACTCACATACCCCTGGTTAAGTGCGGGTTTACGAACTAAGAAGGCCGTTCATCACCAGCAGCGGCATTCGTCAAGGGTTTCCACTTTCGCCATTCCTGCTCGGATTCGTTGTAGACGAAATAATGGAGAACGCAGTAAGTAGTCTCCAATTGAGAAAAGCTATGCGATTTGGAGTACACCGATGACATCGTTTGTCTATTCGAATGTTTGGAGAACGTGCTGCTGCCACATTGGGCATGCGCTTTGCACCTTCAAAGTGCAAAGTGATGTTGCAGGACTGGGTGTCGCCTACTCCCGCTCTGAAACTAAATGGACAGGATTTAGTTATGGCGGATTGCTTTTCCTACTTAGGTAGTTGCTTGACCAACGGTAGCACAACAGAGGTGATAACCGCCCTCATTTCTGAGGCTCGAGCAGCACACGCAGGACTGAAACACCTTTGGCAAAGACGCGACGTTTCATCTAAGTTGAAAGGTCATGTATACTGTGTTAGCGTTTGTTTAGTTCTTCTTTATGGTTGTGAAATCTTGAATTTGCGAGTAGAAAATATCCGTCGACTTGAGGTTTTCCACTATCTGTGTTTACATAGTTTAGCCCACGTGGGATGGAGCGAACGGGTTAGTAATCTGGAGGTAAGTCGTCGTGTGTTTGGAAGTCTATGAGGTATAAATCTGCTAGCACATCGAATTCCCTTGGAGGAAAAGGGAAAAGCTATGAGGATTGGTTAAGAGATCTTAATTTCTTCTAGCTAGAACATAGACGAATGAGGGGATATCTCGTAAAAAAATTGAAATTGTAAAAGGTTTACCGGAGACTTGACGTAGATGACCTGATCACGATTTCTCGTGCTAAAGACACGAGAAGTTATAGCGTTTGACTAAAACAAAATCACACCATATTGGAGATGCGGATGAACTTCTCACACGAAATAGCATTGTTAATGGTTATCAAATTTGAAAGTAGAACAAAGAGTGGAAGTGACCAACTGTACCAAGGTGAACACCTTCAGGGAACAGTGCGATGCACGTTGGTCAACAAAGTTCCCGGAGGACAGTAGTTAGATTGAGGACGCCGTGAGTTGAAGCTTAGACGAACATAAAGTTTAAAACGGATTAATCACGGACTTTGATTTTCGGTACGGTGTACAGACTGAATGTTATCATGACACGATGTGCACTTTACATCGGAACGCTTATAATGTTTATGGTCTTCACGGTTATGGTTTTCACGGATGAGAATAGCAGACACCTTTTATCTTCCCTTTCAACGTATCCAACGAAGTCATCAATCCCCTGGAAACTGGGCTTCATTGAGATCTCGAGGGGTAGACAATTAAACGTAGTGCTGAAAGTCACGACTGGTGGACGGAAATACAACACTGGACGATAGATTGGCAAGAGTCATATCCGTCCTGTGGAAACGAAATTGAACCGAACTGAACTATGCATCAACTCATTGATGCCTTGCAATAAGCGTTTGGCAAAGACTAGAGACGCGCCCTCGGAATAAAAAGCCGATTAAAGCTGGGCAAGCCTTATGTGCGGAAATCACAGGAAAACTCATGACCATGAAGTTGGCTTAACCTAGTCAATGAGCCACGGAACACACAATCAACTGATTGCTGGTGCTTCCAAAACGAGTTAATAACAGTATACATTACGATATATTTACAGATACAGCGAAATCGTATGGGTAAAAAAGCAAACTCACCTGAAGACCAATGAGTGAGCCGTATATCAACACTCGGGGTTTCATACGTGAAGAAAAATAACCCTTATGAAGAAAGTAGGCTGTGGGTGCGATGAAGGCTGCACCAATGGCACGTCCCCACATTCGATGAATATATTCCATGTACCATATGAATTTGAATCTCGACAGAGTCATATCTCCATGCTCATTGACATAACTATACGTGTGGAGGACAACAAAAACAACTTACTAGCTGTATTCTGGGAACTGTTTGTACTTCTCAAATTCCAGCATCCATTGTTCTTCTGTGATTGGTGGTGCCTCCTTAAATGGATGCCAATCAACCATTGATAAACCTGATTCTGTTAATCTGGTAACACCACCAAGTATAACGGCTCCAAAGGTCATGCCAGAGAGACCAAGCAGCCATTTTCCTACAGCCCTCTGTCCATCAACTGTTTTCGTCACAGCTGCCACAGATTTGAATCGTCCGGATAACTTCGAGATAGATTGGTTGAAACCAAGCTTTGCCGGTTTACACCTCGTTGGAAGCCGCACGCGCAGTAAAGAAAAACCGGAACGAAAAGAACGAAGCATCCCTTAGTCGCACAAATCTCAAGGTCACTTCAGGTCAGGTTCAGTTCAGTTCAGTTCAG